ACACCTTCAAAGTATGAATTTTAGATTTTGAAAATTTTGATTTAAAATTGCAACTTTCATTTTAATTAATTGTATACATTCGAAATTAATTTCATTTATTTAATTTAATAAAACAATAAAAACTTTTTTAGTTTTTGCATTTTATTTTAAAATAATGAAGAGAAGTATTGAGTAAATCTGACAATTGTTAATCGTAGTTTAAGCAGTGAATAGCAGCAATAGTTGGTTGTATGTATGTATGTATGTATGTATGTAGTATATAAGCATAGGTAGAAAATTGGGCAAGTATTTATTTCTGCACAAATGTTTAAATTTTTTAGAAAACATTACGTCAGCTGTAACACTGCTTTGCCGAACCGAGAAATTTTGCATTTTTGATAATAAATTGACTTGGTTTTTTTTACAGATGTAAAAGAGATTATAGTGATCAAAGTTTGATTATTTTTAAAAATTGAGTTTTCAAGTTGAAGTTAAATAATTTGTACACGTACGTCAATTTTTGTTGAGAGATTAAAATTCAATTCAAGTTTAAAGTTCGAAGTAAGATCTTTTTCTTTTTTTTTCTTCTTTTTATCATCATGAATACAATTCATTAGTACGAATCTCTTTTAAAGTGATAAAGGTTACTAACGTCTGTTCTATGATTTTTTAACAAAACCGCAAATTTAGCAGTAATTCATTTTGTTCACTAAAAACATACTAAACTATCTTTAGAATTCACAAGAAAAAAATTTTAAATCATGTGAGTCCGTCTACTTTCACAAAAATTCTTAAAAATTTAAATTAATAAACTAGCCATAATTAATCAACTAATTGATTCTTTATCCAATCAACGTGATCATTAGCTAGAAATGATCTATCTCATCATCATCGACCCATGTATTTTTTTAAATTCATTAATTTATCTATTCATTGTTCAAAATAATTCTTTAAAATGAAGTAAACAAAAGTGCAAAAAAGTCAGAGTAAGGTAAACAAAAGAAAGTCAACTACGAAAATGGTTCCAAAAGCCTTCTGATTGTCCCATACACTTTCCAACAATACACTGAGAAGTAATAATAATAATAATAATATTAATAATAATAATAATAAAACAGCGTATTGTAAGTGAGACTATTTAAACAGATATATGATTATTGTATTTTATTTTTAATTGTTTGGAAAACATACTTTTTTAGACGAGAGGTGTTATTGCAGCACTTAAAAGTTACTTTCATGATTACATCTAATATTTGAAAGCTATTTTCTCGCGTAAACTCAATGAAATGAAAAAGACTTTGTTGTCCGATTATACTGATTATACAATGATATTTAAAATTTGCATACTTTATATGTCATATATAGAGTTTCCACGTGCAAGTGTTAATCTATCATCACTATTAAATAGTACTAAATTTAAAAAATGTTAAATTATTTATTTCATTACGTGACATGCAAAAATTATATGTCTAATTATGATCATAGTAGAAAAATGCGTTCATGCATTTATGTATGAGGAAAGCGTAATACCAAACATAGATTTATTCCTTTATTTTCACTTTATGAGATGGATAAGCATTCACGTGAATGACGCAATTGATGCTAAGCATACGCGCACACGTATACAGAAACATATATGCATACGTGCACACATACATGAGAAGAGTTTAGCAAAAAAGGAGGAGTTAACAATTCGTAGAGAACTTATTTTTTTCTGTGTGTATATATATGTATATGTATATGTATTTGTGTATGTGTGTATATAAGTTCGATGGAAGAAAAAAAATTGTGGAGCGAAATTCACTTTGTAACACTTTTAGTAATAGTAAATGTATGCAAGCGGTGCAAGGACAGCTCTTTGTTTCTCTGTCGGAATCGTTCTCATTTCATTCTTTGAAGTTAAAATTGTGTGTTCTCTTATCTTTCTCCCTCTCTCAATCTCTGACTTGAAAATGAAAAAAAGACGTGTTCTATGCGTTCATTTGCTCGCATTCGTTCTT